GCTCCAAATGAATCTTTAGGCTTAACATTGCACCTCCAGATCCCTGCAATACCAGAGGTGAGCTGCAGGGACAGGGTCATTCATGACCTTAGAGGCCAAGTTAGAAGACAGGCCCACCCTGAGTGGTGAACGGACATCAGCACAAGCCCTACCTCTTCCTATGGCAGAGGCATCCTCCAGTCCAGGTCCCCACTGTGTGGTGGGAGGCAGCCACTGCCCAGCACCCACAGCAGGATGCAGCGGTGGCTTCAGGGCATCAGTCCTGTTTCCCACTCGGGAGACAAACCGCCAGAACCTTCCAGTTCTCACCACTCACTCACCTCCTCCTCAGTGCCCCTCCAAGCCCTGCTACATTTTGTACTGAAATTTACAATTGCATTAATGGAGTGTAAAGCCTGACGAGATGCCCTTTGTGGGTACTAGGAAGCCCTTTCATCCTGTGCTTCGTTTTTTAGAAGATAGGAAGGTACCATCACCACCTGTGGCCGGCATCAGCATTGCTCCATTGAGTTCCATGGGGCAGCCAGTCATCTGGGAATCAGGTTTGACACTCTAAAATGCTCTCCTGATTTGTACAGACAGCACAATGTGGGGTTTGAACCAAGCATCCGAGAGACCCCTCTTACCTTCTTCCTTCATCTCAGAGTGGGACATTCAAGAACAAGGGAAGCCTCGATCATTCTGACATGTTTCAGACAGAGCCATATCCACAGAAGGAGGCCTCTGGACTCAGAATTCAAGATGGCACTTTCCAGCTTCAGAAACCAGCCTGCCCTTTCTCTGGCCCCATGTCTATAGCAAGGTCTGAAGCAGGGGGCTGACTTGAATATAGACTAAGTAACCAGGGTCAGTAGTTGCCAGGATGTACCCTCATGGTCAGATGGCCTGAGATGAAGCCTCAGTTCTGGCTGGCCCCCTGGGAGCTCACACATCTGAGTGCCTCCTTTTCTTTGAATTGTGCTTGGTTCTGCTGACTCTAGGCAAGTGTCAGTGTTCTTTTCCGTGGGCGGCATAGAGACAGGATGGGGATGGGTTCCCAAGCGAAGCCACTCTGTGAAATTCACAGGTCTCAGCTGAAAAAGAGAAGGACCAGTACCCAGTGAAGAGAAGCATTCTACTTTCTCATTTGTTTGTCTTCTTGTTGTTTTATTATCACTGTGTACCAGTCAAGCCAAGTGAAAGACTGTGGGTGATTTTTCAACGAGGGCTTATGAGCCCTGATCTGCCTGTACCATTCCCCATGAGGCTGCCTGAGGGTCTCAAGGCCACATACTGAAGCCAGTTGGTTTTTGCAGTCAGTGACAGTTGGTCCACACTGGGTGTTTCCTGACTCCAGCCATCCCAGCTGGAGTCCAGTCCGCTCTGGCTTCTTGCCGCTTCCCACATAGACTCTTCTGGCATTGCTTCTGCTGGAGACTAATTAGCCACAAAGAATCGTGACTCTCCTTCTCATGAGATGACCGCGTGTCTGAAGGTTTTTGCTCAACTGATGTTGCAGCCAGTTCAGAGACCCCAGAAAAGCTTACATAGCACTGAGTGAAGGAATGTGGGCTCACAGGTGCTTTCTGCTGGAGGCACCCCATGTAACCGTTTCTTCTCATTTCACGTTTCTATACAGCCTCCCTAGGCCTTTGTCAGAAATCATGTCAGAGGGGGGTTCTTGGCCCCAGAACAAAGGCAGCACCCTAACTCCAGCTCAGTTGTGTGCACGGGAGCAGCAAGTGTGTCAGATGCCACAGGCCTTCCATTTGATTGGCTAGAAGGTCTATCTTTCCCTTATTATTATTATTATTATTATTATTTTATTATTTTATATCTATTTATTTATTTTACAACCCAGCCACAGCCTTCCCCCATCCTCCCCTCTCATCCCTCTACCCCACCCACCTCCTTCCTAACCCCAACCCTCTCCTCTTCTGTCTCCATCTAGGAAAGGGCAGGTCCCCTGTGAATATCAATAAAACATTTACCTTTTCTTTTCTTTTTTTCTTTTTCTTTTGAGGCTAGTTCTCATATAGCCTAGGCTAGTCTCAGACTCACTATGTAGCCCAGGTTGGCATCAAATTTATGATCCTCATGCCTCAGCCTCTCAAGTGCTGGTTTACAGGCATATGCCGCTGTCTCTAGCTGAGACTTTACCCTTCAAATGTGAAAAGCCTCAGTTCTTGGCTGTCCTATCTTTGGAAGCTCAAGCATAACAAAAAAAGCCAAAAAAAACCTCTTTCCCCAATTCATCAACAGTCCTTACAAATCTGGACAAACACCCCTCTTCTCAAAAATTGCCAGGACAGCGCAAGCCTGCTAGACTGCCAGAAGCTAAGGTGTTTCTTTTCACCGAGACAACTGTGACTCCAAGAAGCGGGCCGCTCCCCCCTCCCCCAGAGGAATGTCAAAGCTCTGACCCCACAATGGTAGCCCTGCTCTTCCAGCTTCACTCACTGCTCTGAAGGAGCCTCTGCAGATAACCCTGTTGCCATGGAAAGGAAAGGACTATTTAATACAACTTCCTGAATCTGGGCAGGAGGTGGGGATGGCAGGAAAAAGCAGATATTATTTAAAATGTTTCATTTCAGTTTAAAAAAAAAACTGCCAGTTTGTTAAAATGCTTAAGAAATGAAAGGCTTCCTCATGGAGCTAGGAGCAGACAAGTGAAATATCCTTGGGGCTCACTGTCCTCTGCGGTGAATTCCTCTGGGCATGCTTGGCAGCCTCTCCATGCTGTTTCTCAGTGAATGGGAGTCCTGGACAGCCTTTGGAAGTGGGCATGGAGGGCTGTCCAGACTCCACTATTTGGGTCTACAGTTAGGTGTGGTCCTTCACTATGGCCTCTGAACTTCCTCAGCATCACAAAACTTTGACAGTAGAACCTTAAGGAGTATCACTCCAGGCTACGCCAGCACTAGGTGACAGCTGCTGTCTTTGTGGGCCCATCTCACACAACTTAAAACTGAGGCACAAAGAAGGGCTTGACTTGCAGCTTGGCATACATATGCACACACAACTAAAGGAACAAATTTGCAGCATAAACCAAGGCTCTGAGGTCATGCCAGGAGTGGTTATGGTAGAAACAACGCTGGTGCTGAAAGGTGTGTCCTGCTGACAGCAGGGCCCAAAGATGCTGCCACTGTGTGTAATAGCAGGATGAAGAGAGAACAGGAGGGCTAGGAGAGGGGCATCCATGAAGCCGGAGCCAGAGGCCAGAGTGGCCACACTTAGCCAGGACACAGGCAAGGAGGGAATAAGCCCTAGGACCTCACATGCCCAGCAAAGTTGGATCTCTCCTGTGGCTGACAAAAGCTAACAGGTACCCTTTTAAGAATCAGGGTATGACCAGAGATGAGCTCGAATGGCATCCTCAGGAGGAAGCTGAAGGAAAGGGGACAGTGTAGATGGATGATTTGGGCCACAACTAACGACTGTCAGCCCTGGTGTTGATACAAAGAGTGGAGGCATGAACAAATGCTGTTTTTGTATTATTGCGGGTCTGGCAGCATGCAGGAAATGGCTTTAGTCACAGAAAGGTCAAGTTCATGGGAGAGAGTCATCTGTTTGCTGTATTTCACCATTTCTAACTAGAGCAAGGAGCAACTCAGCTCAGAAAGACTGCTGGGCATCAAAAAGTAACAGCCATCTTATCAGCCCGGGTCCTCTCTGACTCGCAGGGACTCGGGCAGAGTACCGAAGGGCTTTTACCACAGAGGCCCGGAAGAAGCTTCCAGGGGAAATGTCTATTGAATGAAAGTGGGATTTAAGGATTCTGGTGATTCCAGCAGCCCAAAGCTGGAGACTGGGGCAGGGGGATTTCAATTCTGGGCCACACAGTGTGATGCTGTTTCAGAAATGGGCTTGGGCTCTAGCTCAGTGGCAAACATTCCTTTGATTTGCCAGGCCCTTGGTTTGATCCCCAGTACAAAAGAAAGAAGGGAGAGAGGGAAAAAGAAAGCAATGATAAAGTTTGAATTATTAATTATAAGAGATTATAATTATATTATGATACAATACATATGAGTATGTTATTATAAGAGATATTAATTATTAAGTACAAGAAGAGATGGCAACAATAATAGAATGATTACAGTGAAAAAGAGCTGAGACCCACTCACATCAGGGCTCTTGTGCTCACCCTGCCAATGCTGCCCCACAGGGCCAGGGCTGGGTGTTGGGTGGCACGTGGTCGCAGTGCATACAGTTTATATTTTGCTATGACACTAGCAATTCACAGCTGTTTTCTTGTTATTTTGAATCCTCTCTTTGATCTAGTCTTTCATTCCCCAAGGTCCTCATTCCCCAAGGACTAAAAGGCAATCTTTTTTTTTTTTAACCAATAACCATAAATATGCATTTCCCATAATAACTCCATAAGGTGGCTGTAGCCTCGCTGTGCGGTGATACCCTGAAACTTTATCCTCAGGTTTGTGTATCCTCACATGCAGCCCCCCTCGGTCACTGCAGGCATGGGGAAGCAGGCGAGTGATTTCTTTTCACCTAACAAAGGGGTTAAGCGTTTCCACAATCCATATACACAGACCAAATGAAAAGATGCCCGTGTGACATCATAGAGCCCACAGTTTTGAAAAGTAATTGGTTCTGAAGAGCAGGGAAGAAGTACACGGAACCCAGGGTCTCCATGGAAACCAGCTGCCGCTCTGCTGCCTCACTGCCTCTGATCTGTGCTGTTTTTGTGTAAATGTGTGTGTGCGCATGTGTGTTCATGTGTATGTGGATGCACATGTGTGTGCATGCATGTGGGAAACAAACCATGTGCCTTGTTTTTTGAGGTAGCACCTCTCACTGGCCTGGCGCTAACATGTAGGTTAGGCTGGTGACCGGCAAGCGCTAGGGATCCTCCTGTCTCTGCCTCCCTGATGTTGGTGTCAGAAGCATGTGACAACACTTGGCCTTGTACATGGATTCTGGGGATCGAACTTGGGTCCTCATGCTTAGACAACAGGCATGTGGTCACTGAGCCAATCCCCCAGCATCCCTTCTGTGTTTTGCAGGTGGTTTTCAGCAGGTACTGCAACTCCAGTGACATCATGGACCTGTTCTGCATTGCCACCGGCCTGCCTCGGTGAGTGCCCCCTGTGCCCTCTGTGATGAGGATTGTGTCATCCTCGCAATGGGCCAGAGGAGGGTGAAGCTGCAAATGGGGGTCAGTGCTGAGGAGTCCACCAGACATCCGCTGTGATTTCCCTCAAACAGAAAGCTCAGCCTCCCCAGCAGCAGCGTCCACCTGCTGGGTTAAATCAGCAGAGCCGCCCCTCCCCTTTCTGCTGGATCCTCCCTTCCACCTGCTCACTCACTGTTGAGGATGGGAGATGGCTGTGCTCAGAGTTGCCGGGCCTCAAATAACTGTAAATGCCTTTGCTCTCGGGCTGTCGTCCCCAGCATTTGGCACACGACTGGCTTCAGAGATGAGTTAAAAGCACTTGCCTATCCTACAGAATCCTCAAACTCCCCCCACAGTTTCTCTCCTAAATCCAGTCTGTACTAGCATAGGGATTTTCTAATTATAGGCTGAGCCTCACTGGTCCCCAAACCCCAAGTTCTCCACAATCTGAAACATTTTTAGTGCTGACCTAACACCAAAACTAGAGAATGCCACCGCACTAGACCTCGAGTGATATGTCAATCAAAACGCAGCATGAAAGACATGGATTATATGTTTAGGCATGGATCTGCTCCCTCTAATATCATATTCCATAAACTCAGGTAGCCTAAAATCTAAAAAAAAAAAAAAAAAAAAAAGTCCCGTACACTTCTGGTCCTGAGCATTTTGGTTAAGGCACACGTGGCTCATTTTAGCACCCAATTTTCCACTAGAAAGGGAGACCAAAGGCAAGGCATGATGGTGTATGCCTGTGATGCTGGTATTTGGGAGGCTGAGGCAGGAAGATTGTGAGACCCTGCCTCAGAGACAACTAAAGAATTAAATAAGAGAAAAGAAAGGTGATCGGGTGTGGCGTTAGATGGAGATAAATTTTAAAGTTGGGGGCCAGGGTCAGTGGAGGTGAAAAGGACGGATGGCTAAGTGAGGAAACTGACTGAGGTGATGACGCTGCCTTCTGGAGGTGACAGCAGATTACCGAGTGCAGTAAAAGCAACCACCACATGGGCAGCTTTAGGCAGCATATATTAAGAACTGTAAAACATGCCATGCGCATTTCTATACTGTGAGACAGGAGTCTCATTTCTATTGTACTAATTTTAAAAGATTCACAGGCCACTGGGGAGCTGGCCCCAAGGGTGAAGTCCTTGCTGTATAAGCAGAGGGCCTCAGTTGGATTCAGTCCCCAACACTCCCATAAAAAGCCAGTGTGGCGGCACACACTTGTAATCCAGTCCAAGGAAGTGGGGACAGCCAGATTCAGGGGTTCACTAGCCAGCTAGACTAGCTGGATTGCAAGCTCCGGGCCCAGGAAGAGACCCTGTCTCTGAATTGAATCCTTGGGATGGTGCCCAAGGAATGCGGTGCAGGTGGACCCCTGGCCCCATGCTCTCACACAAGCATGCACTCATCCTTATTCACACAAATTCAAATACAGGAATAAAAATTCACAGTTGAGGATCAGAGGGCTTAGGTCACTTACAGAGGTAACAGCTTATCAGAAGCCCCAGAGATGAGAAGCTGGGGAGGAAATTGGTTTGGGCCATTTAAGTCCACTTTGTGGGAGAACATGGGGACCGGCTCAGGGAGCTCCTCCAATGGTCCAGAAGCAGCAAGATAAGCAAGCAATGGTTCCTGTCTCTAATCTATGTTAGTTTTGGACACCAAAGCTTCCTCTGTCTCCCAACTCAACAAGTTAGCCTTGCTCCAATTCCCACTTTAAATTGTTTAAAAATTGGCAGGATCCTAAAATACATTTACCCTTTTCATTTGGTCTGCTAAGGGAAGGTGGGGGATAACCTGCTGTCCTTGCCTGCCCTTAGCCAAGTACACCTGGTTCCCAGTTCTCAGGGCCTGGTTTCTCTGGGCTCCAACAGGTGAAGCCCCTGTGCAAATGTGTAGAAGGAGCAGTACTGACATGAGTGTTTTGCAGGAACACCACCATCTCCCTTCTGACCACGGATGATGCCATGGTCTCCATCGATCCCACCATGCCTGCAAACTCAGAGCGGTAAGTGTCTCTTTCTGGGGTGTCTTATGCTTCCATGTCTGTGTGCCAGGGAATTTGAAATTTAGTTTTGTTTACTACTGCTGGAAAGTGTGAAGTCTCAGCTGAGAGGGGAAGAGGCAGATGGGAAGCAGGAGGAGGAGGCTTGGTTCACTTTTTCCTTCTTGGGAAGCCATGCTCTGTCCTCAGTAGGGGCCCTATGATGAGGCCATTTGCATAGCTCTAGCCTGAGGGATCCTTCTGGGAGAACTAGGGCTTCCTGGGGATTTTGTCTCCTCCACTTAAGCCCTTGCTGAACTATTCTGTGTTTAGGATGAAGGAGGCCAAGGCACAGAGGGCCAGGGGAGGCAGAGCCAGTGTCTACCTGTGAAAATGATTGGGATAGCTGGAGCCAGTTGTCTGTATCCTCGGGGAAGACACGAGACAGATCCTTTGAGCCAGTGATGCCACTTTCCCAGGTGGCCAGAAAGTCCCTAAAAGTCTCCATGTCGTGTGGGCAGTTCAGCTAAACAGAACTTAAAATGCAGCCTCTGGGGCTGGCAGGATGATTCAGCTGGTGAAGTGTTTGCATGAAAGCTTAATGGCCTGAATTCAACCCCAGAACCTGTGTGAGGATGGAGGAGAGAAGCTACTTTGTCCTCTGACTTCCGCATCTCTCTCTCTCTTTCTCTCTCTCTTACACACACACACACACACACACACACACACACACACACACACACGCAGGCACGCACACACGCACGCACGCACACGCGCTCAAATGTTCAGAATGAATACTGCTAAAAACCACCTCTCAGATGCAGAGGGGGAATGGAGATGTATGAGGTTGGACAGCTGTCCAGTGCTGTGTTAGGGTTACAGCTGTATGAAAGGCTGGGTCAGGCAGGGAGGGACATGAACAACACAATTGTGGGCTTAGACAGGGTTTCTCTGTGTAGTTTTGGAGCCTGTCCTGGAACTTTATGTAGACCAGGCTGGCCTCGAACTCACAGAGGTCCACCTGCCTCTGCCTCCCTAATACTCAGATTAAAGGTATTTGTCTATGCTGCCTGCCTTTAGCAACATGTTCTAAAGGTACTTGGTTGACTCACAGGCTCCTCTATGATGTATTGATCTAGATCTTTGTAAAGCTCTGCAGAGGGTTCTAGAGTACAGTCTGGGGTGAGAAACCCCACTAAGGGGAACTTCTGAAATTCCTCTGAACCCAGGCATGGACCTGTGCCTGAAAGTTCTTTTGTTTGATCCCAGCTCATACTATTCTCAGAGGGTACAGGATAGAACTCTCTGGCCTGTGTGATGCTCCCCATAAACACACACATACACACACACACACACACACACAAACACTCACACACACACACACACACAGGGCCGCCATTCCAGGTGGCCACATCTGCTATATGCCCACCCACTTGTATCTGTTTTTAACTTTCTCTACCTCTGAAGACCATGCAATTGTTCAGCTTGGACATGGTCATCTCCTGTCCCAGCCTCCTACTGGTAGAAGGGACTTGACTGTAGGTACCAGGTCTCATCCACACACTTGGAGCCTTCCTGTTTCCCATTCACAGGATGAATTTTCCATGACTCCCCATGTCCAGTTTCATCTTGGTCAAATGGGTGACTGTCTCCATCTCTCGTGACTTCATGCTTTCCTGCTATTTTCTCTGCACCTGTTTCAAACCCCAAGTCACAGCAGCAAGATGGAAGGCCATCTTGCTTCCGATCTCATTTGGAGCTGTCAAGACATGATGAATGACCTTTTCCTCAGGTCCAATGAATAAGAGCAAACGTATTGGAGCCTGGCCAAATGGAGCTACAGGTCTGCCCTCAGAGGGCCTTTTCCCATCTGGCCCCTTTCTCTGACCACGGAATGTTCTAGTTTGGCAGTGTCCAGCTCTCACTGCTGTGTCTTGGACCCTGCCCTTACTCTCTTGCTGGGGAAGAGGGGAACAGATGCTTTAGTGGTTGAAGGAGAGGGGGCATATGGAGCAGCATATGGAGAGAGGAGAGGCCCAGAATTGACACCGCACATTTCTGACATAACACAAACACATTGTGGGCTTCTGATTTTAGCCAAGTTGTGAGACATGCAGCTTCCTGCTGGGTAAAGCAACCTGGCCCTAGCAAGGAGGGCTGCACAGCCATCCTCTGCTCAGCACACATGCCCTATGGATGCCCAGCTGGCGCCAGGCTGCTGCCTCTCCGGTCATAAAAGAAGACCAGTGCCCAGTGCAGTTAGATTGCAGAATAGACATGCAATGATAGTCCAAGGCCATTTACTGTCTCCAGACGGGGAAGGGGTTATGTCGTTTACATTAAATTAACAGTAGTGAGGATGAGAGTCGAGGAAGCTATAACTCAATTCAGTTGGAGCCAGGAGTTTATTCAGTCCTGGAAAATGCATCGCCAGCTCCATGAAACTGAGCTGAGAGATTTGGGAACCAGGGGCCAAGGCTAAGCAAGAGGCTGTGGAATGTAGCCAGGAAGCTCTGCTGTGGCCTGAGTGTCTGGCAGTGTCTGTCCAGGCCCTCCTTGTCTCTGCCCAGTGGCATCTGCTTGCAGGTTCCATTCAGACCAGAAAACACTGTGGATAACAAATGGGTGGTCACCCATCCTAAAGGCAGACACCATTCTGTCACAGAATACATGTCCCTTCAGAAACCCACACTTGAACATGGGGCATCATTGCCCATAACAGGCTTGTTTTGGCCTTGTTCACTGCCACTCCTACCACAGTTGGCTCTCAGAATAGCAGGAGCACATGAGCCAGTACAGGTCTGAGGGTCCCTGGACTCTGATGCCTCATCTTGACATGTGACTTCTAAAGTTTGAGCTTTCATCTGTGTTGTCTGTAGCCTTCTAGTACTTTTGCAATCAGGTTATAACTTCGGGTAACTGCAGAAGTTTTTCCTGAGGTTAGCTCTTAACATTGTCCATCTTTGCCTGGTGTCCACTGGTCTCAGAAGCCTGTCTCTGCCCTAGCTAGAGGTCCTCACATCTAGCCTTCCCCTGCCATCCACATAGCCAGTGTCCTCTGTACGGCTTCAAACAGGCCGGTTAATAATGGGGTGTGTTTGACAAGGTTAGTAGTTCCCGTAGAGACCCAAGAGCTTCAACAGAAATGAGAGGGATCTGGTTTGCCCTGGTTTAGGATAGAATTAGGCAAAGAATGTCAGAGTCCTTTGTCCCACCTGTTAGTTCTGCAGATGACAGAAGTTTGCTTCATTAATCAAGTATGAGCCATTATAAAGGAACTTGTCAATGTAACTTTTAAAATGTGATGCATCTAAATCAGAGAACTTAGAGCAACCAGGTTGGGGGAAGGAGTGTTGGGGTGCAGCTCAGGGACCCAGCTGTGTGTGTGTGTAATGTGCAGGGCCTGGGGTTCCATCTTGGAAAAAGAAAAACAAATCACCAAGCTGAATTGTGATGCTCCCCAGGGATGGCTTATCGCTGGCAGCAGCAAGCGCCTCTGGCTGGCAGCCACTCACTGTGACCTCCTCTTCTCTTGCAGAACCCCCTACAAGGTGAGACCTGTGGCTGTCAAGCAACTATCTGGTAAGGCCCTGTTATCACATTTTAAATAATGAGAGAGACAGAGAGAAACAGAGACAAATAGACAGAGACAGAGTTCCAGTCTCTCCCGGTGATGGAATGTTTGTGGGTTAAGTATTTGATTCTGCAGCCTGCTCCTACTGCAAAATCAGAAACGTGGTGTTCTTGTTCAGGTGGCCGCCTTGAGTTCCCACCCTGACCCAGAGAACATGCTAGATACTGGGTGTCATTCCACCTCATTCTACCCCAGTGCCCAGGCCCACAATCTTCTCCATTCCTGGGAGCTGCCAAGTTAGGCCCCCAGCCCACTCCATGTCCCAAGGTGCTTCAGCCAGAATCCCATCTCCTTTGGGATTTTTAAAAATCACTTCTATTTGTATGTGATTTGTGCATAATAAAATGCTTCCACTTAAGTATGCACCTGGATGCATTTTGAAGAATCTGCACACTACTGTCACTGTGGATAGAATTAAGGTTTCCATGAACATTCTCTCATGCCGCTTTGCTGTCTTGGTCAACAGCTGGCTTACTTTTGAGAACCATTCAGTAGACATGTTTCCCAGAGTTTGTGTGCAGCGTTAGGGGGAGGGATGTAAATATTTCTTATTTGTGATTATGTGAAAGCAGATGTCAATCTCCCATCGTGTCCTTCCTTGGGAGTGTTCATCCAGCTCTTTGAGACAAGGTCTCTCATTCTCCTGGGTCTTACTGCCTAGGCCAGGCTAGCTGGCTGGTAAACCCCAGGGATCTTCCTGTCTCTCCAGCCCGAAATTACATGCATGTGCCACCATGCCCAGCTGTTTATGCGGGCTCTGGGGATGAGATTCAGGTCCTCCTGGTTCTTCCCAGCAAGCACATAACCAGCCCAGCCCTTTCCAGAGTTTCTCACAGGAGAAGATGACCCAGGAAGTGACTCAGCCCAATGCTTCTGAGAACCATTGGTGTGACCACCGGCCATCAAGCCTGTTAGTTAGTAAGGGTCACCCCTGCACTATGCTTTTCATTCATTTCAGAATGGGCATTTGGGTCATTTTTTATGAGTCAAGCTGCTATGACTGTGGGTGGGGCTTGAGTGAGACTGTGGGGTCATGAGGTCAAGTGTAAGTTTAGCTCCATCAAAGCCTGCTGCTTCCCTTCTCTGACATGGCTGTACCATCCTGGACATCCAGCTGGCTCCCTTCTCGGCCCTCTGTACTGTCAGCATTTTCCATTACAGTCACTCTGACGGCGGAGGAAGTGGAGTGTGCTGTGGTTTTAATCTTCGGATTCCCTAACTATTACTGACCACGAGTGTCTTTGAGTGTCCGTTTTATATTTGTTTCAGGATACCTCTGGTCAGTTCTTTGGTAACTCCTGGTTGCCACTCCTGTACTTACTGAGTCGTGAAGCTTCTCAATGTGAGGCAATGAAGATTCACACTTAGTGTCTATTCCTGTTCAGGCAATAAACCACTCTGATGAAAGCGATTGCAGGAGAAAGGGTTCCTTTCAGCTCACAGTTCAAGGTCACACAGTCCGTCATGGTGGGAGATCAAGGTGGCGGGACCTTCAGGTAGCTGTTCATCCAAGGCCAAGGACAGAAGGAGTGATGAATGCATGCTTACCAGTGTGCAGCTCAGTTTCTCTAGGGCACAGGATCTCCTGCCCAAGGAATGGGCCTGCCCACAATTAAAATGAGTCTTTCTACCTCAATTTATGTAAGCAAGAGACCCATTTCCCAGGTAGCTCTAGATTCTGTCAGCTTGGCAGTTAACACACCATCACACACACCTTTGTTGGAAACACAATAAATGCTTCCTTTGTCCAAAGCACCCTTTTCAGCTTCTGATTGATGGATTTCAGGGATAAGATGGGCTTGTTTGTTTGTTTTGATTTTGCTGTTGCTACTTTTGGTGCTGGGAGTCAATCCCAGGGACTCATGCAGGCTAAGCCAGCACCCCATGGCTGAACGACATTTCTGTATCTTGGTCTTTTGAGTCAGGATCTCCCTATGTTGTTCACAAGGGCCTTGAACTCAGAGTCTTGCTTTCTCCACTTATCCAGGGCTGGAGTCACAGGCTTGCTCTCCATAAAAGCTTTAAATTTAGAAAAAGTCTAGTTTGATTTTTATTTTTTAATGTGTGTGTGTATGATGTCTTGCCTGTGTGCATGTATGTGTAACACCTGCATGCAGTTCCCTCGGTAGCCAGAAGAGGGCACCAGATCCCCTGAAACTGAAGTTACAGATAGCATGAGGCACCATGCAGGTCTGGGAATTGAACCAGGATCCTGCCCCTGATTTTACCTCCTATCTGGGAAGTTTGCTCATATACTTTTTCTAGAAGTTTCATAGTTTTAGTTTGTATATTTAGCTCCATGTGGATTTGTTTATTTGCTTGCTTGGTTTTTGTTGTTGTTTTATTTTTCTGCAGCATGGTATGAAACCCAGGGCCTTGTGCATGCCAGGCAAGCATCCTGCCACCAAGCTTCATCCAAGTCCATGTGAGAGATTTGGAGTTGACCTTTGTGTATGACATGAGATAGAGTAGAAGTCAGCTTGCCTTTGTGAAATTCAGCTTGGGTGTTAGGGAGATTGGTGTGACAGGGTGAATTTTGAAGTGCTCACAGATTGCCAGTGATGTGTGTGACAATGTGTCCAAGTCTCATCCTTGTCTTCGGTGTGACATCACGGGGACACCAGTTGCCTTAGCCAGTCTTCTGTTTGAGGCATTCCTTATATAAACTGTCATACAGTTCTCCTGACAGTAGATGAGGGTCTAACTTCTTGGAGAATAAATATTTTTTATTGTAAGAAGCTTATCAAGGTCTTCTCTGAGCAGAAAGCTAATTTATACATACATACATACATACATACATACATACATACATACATACATATATTACCTACAACCTCCATTCTCTGCCTGGATGTCAGCATGGCTTCTCTTGATGTCCTTTATCTGTGCCAGGATCTGACCACTGTCCCACACTGCGCTGAGGCCTGGGGAATCAGTTCTCAGACTTTCATGGCAGGGTTGAGAATCATCTGCTTAGTATCCCCCTACCTGGTTGTACTTTCTCTATTTCCTGTTTATTTGTTTATTTTTGTTTGTTTGTTTGTTTGTTTGTTTGAGGCAGAGTCTCTATAGAACAGGCTAGCCTGGAATTCACTATGGAGCACCAGACTGGCCACAAATTCATGGCAGTCCTCCAGTCTTAGCTCGCCAAGTGCGAGGATTACAAGTAGGAGCCAGCTTGCCTGACTGGTGTCTTTCTCGTGGTCAGCTGCAACTGTGGGGTAGGAAAGGGATTGTGGGGCACTGTGTCCTCCTGTCTCCTCCGCTACACTGTTCCTCCTTTGGTTTCTCTCCTTAAGCAATGGTTACTTAGTCTCATCTGACAAGTCCAGGAGAGGGTTGAGGCTTGATTTTTCCATGTGAGGATTTATTTGCTCCAGTACCATTAGACAAAAAGATGGCCCCATGCCATCACCATGGCCCCTTTGTGCAAAATCAGTCAGCCACACATAGGAGTCTTTACCTGCACCCAGCTTCCTGGTCCATTAATGCACATATCTGTGCTGACCACGGATGCCAATGACTGTGGACTGATGGCAAATCTCCCAAACAGGTGGGCAAAGCTCTCTCTCTCTCATCTTTTCCAAAATTGACAGAGCTTATTTTCAAGTAATTTTTGGAGTAACCCTGTCAATTGCTAACAAGAAAAAAAGGGGGGAGTGCTATTCAGAATTTTATTGCAATCCCATTAAATACATTGAATAATTTGGGAAGAATTAGCATGTTACTAATGTTTTGTGGTCTCTTTCATGCATGAATTTCTGCACTTGGTAGGTTTCCTGGAGTGTCCTCAGGGTTATAGCTGCTGGTGAATGTTGCTTGGTAACCTCATCACTATTTCCTCTTAGTGCTGTAGAAATGGATTTCGTGTGTGAGAGGTTATAGTTTACTGTATAGCATGCATGAGGTCCTGGGTACAATTCCTACTACTACAAACATTTTTAAATCTCAGTTTTCTAAGATCTTTTAATTTGTAAAAAAAAAAAAAAAATTAAATGATCTTTTGTGCTGGAAAAGCCAATCCTGATAGTTACTCAAAAAAAAAAAAAAAAACAAAAACAAAAACAAAAAAAAAAACAGAGTTTTGTGTAAATTTGGAGCCAAACCAGGACTGTTGGAGTTGAGCTCTGACTCATTAACAAACCTTAGGGCTGAGGGTCAGCAGAGCCCCTGGGATTAGGAGCTGAGGTCCCTGGAGGGTTTGTGAAGGGCCAGTGTGGAGGGCGCATGTGAGCAGCTGGGCCAAAGCTGTAAAGCTCTTCCCACATCTGGGGTCATGAGAGTGACAAACAACTTGGAGGAATAGAGTCCTGCAGAGGACCGAGACCCCAGCTTCATGATGACCGAGTGAGCACACAGTGAAGGATGCACCCTCTACAAACCAGGGTGAGAGGGAACAGGGAAATACCTGCTGGACAGCATGAGTGTGAGCACTCTTTAAGTGAGAGAGCAGCCTGGGAGTGTTGCTTCACACAAAAGGACAGGACTCTGCTCTTGGACAGAAGCAGCCACGGGAAATCTGGGCCATGTTTGGGCTTGCACTGCATCGGCCCCCTCTACCCGCCCCAGACCAGCCTCGAAAGGCCCTATGAACTCTGCATTGAGAAAGTACTGGCTCTAAAGGCACTATCTGTCCCTTCCCCCAAGAGATGCCAGCACCTACCTTGTGTGTTGGCATCCTCTCCTCAGTCATGTTCCTGGTCAGGCTGACAGACACTGAGTGCTAGGTGCCCATTATCACGGTAAATAAGGATCAGGATAAACAAATAGGCCGAATAGATGTTTATTCAGGGAGAAATAACTTACAACCTAGACAGATGAACACCAGGAAATTCAACCCGATCCTCTCCTGTCCGAGTCACGCCAGAAAGAGAGCGCCTTTCCTGGCCCCCTCCGACCTCCTTCCACAGGTCACTCCGCCCATGGCTCCACCCCCCAATGGGCGTGG